GTACCACACCCCATCGTACGACATGTGTTTTGGCTACACGCTCATGTCGGTCGCCCGAACTTACGACAGAGCCGTCGCGATCGCGTCGGGTGTTGCGCTGTTTTGCTTGCTTTTGCTGGCTGCGCGCGTGTGGGTCGTCCGCCGCGCCAAGAAATACCAGGATGCGCTTCGGGACGCCACCGTGCAATCCCCCGTCGACAACGCATAGGTGTCTAGCTGGGTGTATAGTCCTCTATGTATAAGCACATGTTTTTGCTACATGCGTCGCGTCGCATTGCCATCGAGACGTTCACCTACCCCTTAGCTACCCCAAGTATTCAGGCAGCAAAGACACTGTGCATGATTGATCCTTTCGTCGTTGACGACGTGCGGTGCAGTAAATGAGCTCGAATCGAATGCCCTTTTATGTCAATCGGCACTGTTTATTGACCCTTGGTTACGGCGAGGAAAGCGAGAGAGCTCGAGTTCTACAGTTGTGGGGTGAAGTGTACTCGATTGAGGTTGTTGTCAATATCGCAATTGATGACAAGTGTCTTGGGCGGTATGGAGGCTAGTACGCCTGCTGCTGCTCCTATACAATATATACCGGGAAGGCTATCTTGAGGTCGAGTCGAAGGCCAACCGCACACCTAGCACTCACGCGCATCGTGTCACGACCATCGTCGAAACCCAGATCTGATAGCCAAAGTGCACCAACGTAAATAAGAAGTCGATCTTGCAGACACTTGGCGTTGCTGAAATACAAGTTCCTCGCTGAAATGCGAAGGCTAATATTGTCGGACGTTGTTCGGGACAGGAGCGCGCTCCGCCATACAGGGTGCTGGCGCGGCGACTGATGGTGCGCTACTGTAGAAGTAGAAGCAGCCAAAGACGCCAAAGCTGCGCGGGCTCTTGGACGAAGCTCTTGTGCAGTGTCGGCTTCGTGGCTTTTTTTCAAGGTCGTAATTCTTGGCATGTTTTCGCTTCCTATTCGTACAATTTCTGTATTTTTATGACGGCGTATTATTTAAATCTCTAATTCTAATTTCATCGTATTGAGCTCTGCATTTGTATTTATTTAAAAAAGAACAGTGGCGATGTCACCGTTTGCCATCCAGCAGATGAATATTACGTATGAATAAGGTCCTGCTGGGCACGATTTCACACTATTCATGGCACGTTTTAAAAATAGGTGTGACACAAGAGACAGGCAGGCACGTT